AATTATGCATAAGCCAGTATAAGTGATAAGAAACCAGTCCAAACTTAGAACAGAAGTTCAACTCATGCAGACTGGTTTAAAAATGGAGGAACCTGGTTTAAGACAGCAGGTTGGATACAGTATCCTATTTAATCAGTTTAGGCTAGACCAGTATATCAAACTTCTGTTCAAGATCCCCTCCCAACTCGAGTTAGGTCGCAGTCCCTAGGCATCCCAGGTGGCATTGCAGCCCCAGGTTAGCTGTTTCTCACAGGGTGGGCGGGCTAGTCTCAGCCTGCACTCCTTTGCTGTGGCCAAGCCAGGCCGGCCCTCCCCTGAGCTGTCACAGAGTTAAAGCACCGAAGTCTCTGCTTCCCAGCCTTGCACCCTTCCTGTACTTGTCAGCTGGGTTGGGCAGTGGGGGGGAAGGAAGGTGGGGAATGGAGACCCCTGCCTTGAGTTAGGGTTTGCACAGCTGGGGAGTCCATGTGGTGCAGGCTTTGCCCCTGCTGCCCCTGCCTGGTTGGTCTTGCCAGCTGGGGTGGGGTCCACAGCCCTGCCCCCCCGTGAGTCGCAATGGTGAAGACTTGTCATTTGATGAAGGCTTAATGCAAAATTTGATCTCTTCTAATGTAAAACACAGCAGTCAAACTTCAGTTTTTAAATGTGATCTGCACAGAGCTCAGGCTCTGTTATGCCATTTGGTAAGCAGTGTGCAAAATACTGCTTATAAATGAAGTATTTGCAACTTAAAAGAAGTCTGTGCAGCCATCAAACAAAGCAAGGATTAATAAAAACTGTAAGACGCAGGCCAAGGTACGTGCCTTCGGTTGTAACAAAGAGAGTTGAGCATGCTTGTCATTTTACAGGATCGGGCCCATAATTAAAGGTGTAATAAAGAGGATATTTTGGGCTATAGAGAAAGTACAATTTTATTTTACATTCTCACCATCAGAAAATGAGTTCTTTCTATTTATAACTGTATTTATTTGCCTGTGTCGTACCATCTGTTGGGTTTCCAAGTTTAACATACTTAGATTAACTACAAGTTGGCCTTTGAAACAAAATAAGTTTTAAACTCTGGCATGAAAATATATGCAGAAAGCTGAAATCACCATTCTCTCCTGGCATCAAATTCCACAGTTTTCAAATATGAAATGTTAGAATATTGGCTTTAAAAAAGTGTACCTTGAAAAGTAAATTGAGACAATAATGGTGCACATAAATTAATTTCTATATGCTGCAGCTATGAATTGTCAGAAGTTAAAGCAAGATGCCATCAGTAGGACAAATCTTAAATTACTTTTTTCATAATTTGCATAAGAATGAAAGACAATTATACCCCTCAGACTTTTTTTTGAAAGCCCATATGATTCACCTTCAAAATAATGTATAATGCATATAGAGCAGGGGCCGGTAATTTTTCAGTTGGTGGGCTGCTTAACAAGGTTTGGTGAGCTGTTGAGGGCCACAAGGTAGTCCTGCCCCTTGACAGGTGCCCTGCCCCCTGGCCACTGTCTTGGGACCAGAAGTCCCACCCTAACCCCTGACCTTTGCCACTGAAAGTCCCTTCCCTTGCTTCCCAGAAATACTCCTTTTGGGGGTTGGGGGGTTGCCATCTTAGAACCAGAAAGCAAAACAAATCGTACACTAAAAGTCAAACACCTACTATAACATATTTTAATTTATTACAAAAAATATCCTCGTTATGATTTGTGTTTATGTATTGTATATAGATGTAATTACATAATAACTCAAGAATTCATTCTTAGACTTTTACATTGTGTGGGGGGTGTGGTTGGGGGTATGTGTATGGTGGAGGTATGTGGGGGCAGTGTGGGGGGCATGGGGGTGTGCGTGTGGTGAGGTATGGTGGGTTGTGAGGGTGTGGTTGTGCATGTGGGGTATAGGGTATGTTGTGGGGGTTGTGTGGTGTTTGTGGTGTGTAGGAGTGTGGCTCTGGAACACACTGGTCTCTGGGACACATTGTCCTCTCTTGTCCAATCAATGCAGTCAATGCTGGGGAGATGGGGTGTGTGTATCTGTGCATGTGGCATTTGTGGGGTGTGAGGAAGGGTGCAAGGGGTGTGGGGACCCCCCTACACTCCCCCCATGGTGCAGAAGCAGGCAGGGGCACTGGTTCCTGGCTCTGGCCAGCATTGCATGTTGCAGTGAGGAGTTTAATTGCTACTGGGTAGTCTCTATTGCCAACGCTCCCCTCACTTGTAGGGACCAGGAGGGAAGCCCCAGGTGCTGGAGCCAGCTGCTTTCCCCACTGCAGCCAACTCCAGTGCCTGGGGCTTCCCTCCCGGGCCCCATGAGTGCAGGGAGCCCTGGTGATATAAACAGCCCGGGAGGGACAGTGCCTCTCACAATGCTGGCTGGAGCCAGGCACCAGCACCCAGCAGTGTGCACCTCCGACCTCCAGCTGCTGCTGCTGCCACCCCTGCTGCCTGCCAGAGCTGCACAGCATGGTGGTGGGGAGGGGTCGCCACATCCCTACCCTCTCTCATTCCCTGCCCAGACGAGCTCCCTCCCCAGGTGCTGGCTCCATGCTGCAGCCAGCCCCAGCCCTAAGCTCTGTGCTCCTGCCCAGCTGTAGCCCTGCCTCTTCCCTCTGCTTCCCTACCTGCTTCCCAGAGGGAGCTGGATACCAGGGAATCCTGCAGCAGCAGCCCTGTCCGGTGCTAGAGGGGCCAGGCCCTTCCACCCACAAAGGTGGGAGCAAGACATAATAGGACATGCTGGGGGCGCGTGTAGGCACCTCACTCCCACCCTCGTGGGCAGAAAGGCTGGGAGGGGCACAATTCATTGGTGAGTGCCATGGACCTGATGAAAGTGCCTGGTGGGCCAGATATGGTCCGTGGGCTGTATTTTGCCTGTCTCTGAGCCAGATCCTGCTAATTCTTATACTTGGAGTCCTCAAATTCCATTAGTTTAAAAACACACGTGTGTGCTATTTATGTACATGGGTTGTCTGGATTGTCTTGTTAGCACGTACTACATTATTACAATATTTATAAGTAATGACAATGTTACATGTCATTATGTTTAATATAAATATTCCTCCTGAGAGTCTGAGATTTTTTAATAGTATTTTTACATACTTAGCTTTCATAACTGTAATGTCAAGTTTTACTCTAAGTTTTGAAGCTCTAAAAAAGATCTAGCTTTTTTTTTCTTTTACAAGCTAACAGTATCTTCTAAATGTCAACTTTTATGAAAGAAATTATTTGTCATAAACAGGGCTTTAAACAACCTAAGCATGCTGAATCCTGTATGGCCCAGGCTTAGTGTTCTATTTAATTGGGACTTCTTTACCTTGGTTTCCTACCTCTTCCTGAAACTATCATCAAAGATACTGTCAAGGGGCAACGCCTTATTCTAGACTCACTGCTACCAAGTAGTGTCCTTTACCTTGTTGTCTACAGTATAGGAAAAACTCCAACTGTTTCATTATGTGGACTCTGTCTCTCCCCCTTACTCTCACTGCCAGGCATGAAAAACATAATGCAGCTAGCAATGGTTTTAGCTGGGAAACACATCACCACCTCACCTTTTCTAGTGCAAGAACTATATGGGAAACACCAATTACAGTTAGATTTATTCCTCTACGTGTGTTGGACACTTATGGCTGTGAAACTTGACTTCTTAAGATACAATACATTTTATGTCAAATTTAAATAGATACAGAATTATGTAAAGAATTGATTAAATACGTCACGGTATACATGTATGAACAAGACAATGTAGGTAATTTATTTCAGATTTATCTTATCACAATTTTTAGGCACTATTTGAACACTGATGCAGATCCAGGGGGAGCTGGGCAGGGTCAGTTTGCCCCAAGTGGTACAACTTGTCTCATACCAAAGTGCATGTTCAGGCACGTGCACTGAGGCAAAAATCTCCGGCACAAATCTGTGCTGCTCTTATCCGAGCTGCTGCAAGCACACATGCCTGCATGTGTGGATGTGTGGATGCCCCCATGGTTTCTGTCCTGTCATGTCTCAGCTCATGGGCAGCCCTTCTCCCCAATTAACTGGAGTAGGAACAAGAAAATATTTATGATATTGAGATAGAGGTTTAGTGCTACAAAGACATACTCTTCAGGATTCAAACAATACCAGTGTTTTCCTCCAAGAATGAACTGTGTATCCACCACAAGATACTGAAAGATAAACCCAATAAAACACATCAGTTTTACAAATATAAAACGTGAATTCTCCTGGCCCACATAAACAGTTTTCTCTCAGGCACATAAATGCTTGTTATGGTTCCAGTGACTTTTCCATAAATAAGAATGGATGAAGCTGGTCAGGTTATTCACTGGCTAAATTCTAGCCACTGTAGCTAATTTCTCCAATTATTACAAGTTTGCTTTACATGACCAGATTTTTTTTAAACACAAACTCAAGTGTTTGGGCTGCTTACCAGGAGCTTTTTAAACAGAGATCCTCTTCGCAGGTCCAGATATGTACACATGCAATTATTTTCAAGAACAGGCACTGCCTAATCATGAATAGAGGTGACAGAGATGAACAGAGGGAACTTAAATTCAAATTCTTCAACTCTGAGTTGCTGGGTGGCAATAGAGTTCAAATGATAGGACCCGGTATAGGAGAAGGAGGGCGCGTGTCTTGTGTTCACAAAAGAGTTTGAGAGAGCAATTTAATTGCTTCTCCTGCAAGATAACTGAGCAAAGAGAGCCATTTAAAATTCCCAGTTGGTTCTTTCTGCACTGTGTAGGCCATATGCACCTCCACCCCCAGCCACCCCATCCTACCCCAGCATGCACACTATCGCAACGCAGAAATCAAGCTCTCCGAACTCATGCTCCCTGCTCTCACAAGGTTTGCCCCAGGCACCAGCTCTGCTTGTTATGCCACTGCCTGTTGTATGGACAGGACCTGAGTGATATTTAATCAGGTTAAAACTTTGGAAATTATTCCACAAGTTGCTGTGGGAAGCAACCTCTGAGCAGTAAAGTCTCTGTAGATTAATTGGAACGGGGGAAGACAGAAATACTATACTGAAGACCAATGTTCCTATTGAGGCATAGACAATTTAAAGGCACTGGGGGGTGGGGTAGAAAGAGGGTCCTTAAGTGACTTCAGTTACATCTAGATTCATACAGATCTGTTAGGTAAAACTAACTCTTTATTATCATGCTACCACCAGTTCTGTTATGTTCAAGAAACTTAAAGATCTACTGCTGTTGCACAGACAGAATGATCCAATTTTATCCCTGTGAAATTTGAATGAAGTCAATAGAGTTTCACCCAAGTGTTTGGCTCTGTGTTTTGATATAGCATTGGGAGAGGGAAGAGAGGCATTTTGTAGCAAAGCCTGACAGGAGAAGTGGGATAAGGGAATAGATAGTGAAGTCTTTTTTCAGAGTTAACCCAAAGCCAGTTAGATAAAACCAGTAGAGGCAGGGAGCAATATGTTAGCTTGTCTTAAGGCAAGCTGGAACTAAAATACAGAGAATATTTAAAGGTAAGGCAATGTAACTGGATATGGAATCCAAAAGAAATCAGAGGTACTGTAAGCTTTCATAAGAGACTAGGTGAAGTCTGCTCAGGAATGACTTATGTAAGATGGCACAAGGAATACCAAACAGCATCCGCATCAGGACCACAGCCAAGAGGATTCCAGTTGCTATGGCAAAGTCCCGCTGAAGATCAAAAGGAAATTCAAACTCAGTTGGTTGGATCTGGCTGTCACCACTTTCCTGCACAGCATGTCACGTGGGTAAGCAGAACTGCCACTTGTCCAAGTGCCCAGAGCCAGGAGAAAGGACAGGTTGCTACCTCTAGATGGGGATTCCCGGCCTAAGCGTAATACTGAAAAAGTCCTTTGTCTGAGTATTTAGGGCTGGAATCACAATGAGACCTGCAAACTAGGGGTGTGCGAAATGGGCCTTATTCATTTTGGATTTAGATTTGGCCCAAACTGGGGACAGCGATTCAGTTGGTTGATTCGGATCACTGTCCCTGATTCAATTCAGCTGAATCCGAATCTGAAGATTCGATGCTGATTCAGACGCAGACAGAGCTTTAAATGTTTTTTCTACATACCTCGAGGTACCAGGCACAGCTCGTGAACGCTGTGATCCTGGGGCGGATGGAGCATCCCACAGAAGCAGGGGGGACCCCCCCATGTGCTCAGCAGCTAACTTGGAAGTGGACTAGAAGTACTTCCAGTCCACTTTAGGGTCTGCCAGGGGGTGTGCCACCCCCCCACCCACACCCGTGACCTCCTGGCTCAGCGATTGGCTGCGGGGGGACCCCAGGTGCCCCTTCAGACCCAGGAGGCACCAGTCGCTGAGCTGGGGGGGCATGGGGTGGGCCTCCGCGTGCTCCCTGGCAGACTCAGAAGTGGACCAGAAGTGCTTCTGGTCCACTTCCAGGTCTGCTGCCGAGCATACTGGGGAGCTCCCCACGGTCCTGTGGGATGGTCCATCTGCCCCACCATTGTAGCATTCACAAGCTGCCTGGTACCTTGAGGTATATAGAAAAAACATTTAAAGCTGTGTCTGCATCCAAATCACTGAATCTCTCTGGTTCTGATTCAATTCAGAGAGATTAAAGGGTCTCCTGATTCGATTCAGATAGGGCCGAACCTCCACTGAATCGAATCAGGGACCGAAGCTTCGCACAGTCCTGTTGCAAACCTCGTGCCACTTTAGAAAACCACCAAGAATGTTAAAACCCCTCTCTTACGGCTTTTGGCAGCTACATTTTTACCAGTGGGCACATTCATAGGCATCTAAGTCCCAGCACCACTGAGGTTCTCATCATTTAGCTTATGCCTGAATCCTGGCGTGGTTTTTAAAATAAAGGAAACATTCTCCAGTGACCCCAGTGAAGTAAGGACAGGGTACCTGGTGATTTATCAATCACCAGTCTCCCAAGAGTGCCACTACAATGGACTGAGTAGGGGCAAGCATTGCCACATTTAACACGTCAACTTCAATCAGTCATATGTACACAAAGGCTAAGTTACTGAAGGTGCTTTCCCATTTGATCTGAAGTCTTAATTGATTTAAATAATTTCCTGTAAGTGTTTTAACAGCAATCACAACAGAGCAATTGCCATGAGGAGCCAGCATTTATTAGTTGCCACAGTAGCTTCCACTTAAGCCACAAGGGCATGCTTTAAAAAACAGCCCCATGTAATTTAGTGACAGGGTATTAACTTAGCGTAATTTAGTGATGGGGTATTAATGAAAACTTACTTTTGTCTGCGGAGCAAATATAGACAGTCCTAAAATCACAAATGTTGTTGCACCAATGGCCCACATCACTGCATCTGCTTCGAATAGGCTAAAACCCAAAATATCAGTGAACTACAATTAAGGTAGTACCATCGATTCAAATACTGGTCAAAGACTTACGCTGAAGTTGATCCAAGCATTAGACCTTTGAGGACTGTCTATAAATGAAGCCGAAATAATAAGTTGCAAGAAGGAAAAATGTTTGGCAGACATTACCAGCACTGGGATGAGAATGTGTTCCTCTCACCAGGGGATGAGGAAGTTCACAACCTTGCTGAAAGTTTATGTAGATCTGCAAAGCAAAATGGTCACAGTGGCATCAGATGACACGTGCTTCCAATTAAAACAGGGCCCTTTGGTGTCTGCAGATGAGACAGGGGCACATCCAGTTCAGATGGCCTCAGGGCAGTAAAATACAGAAAGGCAGAACTGCATTTGAAGTGTCACTGCTCTGTCTGTGTCTGTCGCTCTACCTCTGTCTGCAGTTTGTCTGGACACAAAGCAACTTCTAAGAAAATACGGCAAAATTAATTGTGCTTTTACAAAGCTTGCGCATGGCCCCACTTTCAGATAAACACAGGGGCGTACAGCACCACCTCTCTCCAACATTGTGGCTTGTCTATTTAGATTAGAAGCCCTTCAAGGCCGGGACTGACTATGGAGACCATCATACCTAGTGTAAGGGGCCCCTAATCGGCTACTGCAATAGAAATAACACACGTTAGTACAAATGGAGCAACCATAGACAATAAGAGAGCTGCATTCATTCTACCAAGGGACTTACAAATATTGCCAATAAAATGAAATTCAGTGGAAATTTTCTGTGGGCATTATCACAGCAGCTAAGGACAACTGCCAAAATAAAGATCACAGGACTAAAAGGTGGAAAGAACTTGTGTCAAACAGTTTAAATGTGACATTTAAACTTACATAACATTCACAATGGGACATTTATGTAGTGCACGTCAGTGTAGACAGAGATGATATATAAAGAACAATCTCTCTTAACAGCCAAATGCCATGTACTCACAACAGAGGGCAGGAAAACCAGGAATTCATCAACACCTGTTCTTTAAGTCTCCTCCTAATCCAAGACAAAAGGGAAACAGAATTTGAGACAAAGTCCTGGGTGACTAGATTTTCTAGTCATTAATAAAGCTGTCTCCCTGACCTTGTTTCACAATTTGTATTGGGGGGCATTTACAAATGAAAAGAAACCTGAAAATGAGATGTGATGCAAAAGGGAAACTTCGCTTTTCATTGTACCTAAAAATAGTTGAGAAGCCTGCTGCAGCCTCAGCTTTAAACCAGAGGCCTCCCACACCACCAGCAGGAATCCCTCCTGCTTGAAGTAGGAGATTAATTCCCTCTGCCCCGTTCACCCCTCCAGAGCTGTAGGCATGGACCAGAAACACACAACTTGGGGCAGGCAGGGCTGGCAGTACCACCAACCAGACTGGTAAACTCCTGCCATTGTCAGACATCAGTTGCTTTATTCAAAAACAGACAAACAAAAAACCCCCCCTTTGCTAAATTAGTGTTCAAGCTGTGCAGGTGTTGACCTTGGGACTTTTTACTTCAGCCAAAACATTTCAGAGGCTCTGGCTACCTGTTCTTTGAAAGGCTCAGGCATCCTCATGCTGTAGGGCAGGGATTTGAAATTTGGCACGAGGTGGCCTTCACTTCAAGGATCGGCCTTCTGCCATTCTCATGGAATTACTTGGCCAAATTTGCACGGTGTAACACTGAAAATATATGCCATTCAGGCATGTTCAATAAAGACATGCTAGGGCTTAGGGGGCTGTGATTCTCAGCTGGGGTGCTACAAGATGCCCCACAAGCACCATGCCTGCCACTGCCATAGCCAGGGAGAAATCCCTGAAATGTAGGGCTGCAGCACACATGCGCTCCTCCTGTAGTAGACTTTGCTCATATGTCTGAAGCATGCAGGAGAGCTCACGTATGCTCTCGCCCTTCCCAGCTCCCCCTCAAGAAGAGCGTGCACACATGCAGCAGGCACATGGGACAGTTTTACCTGGCAACAGTACCTGGTATAGAAACACTAAGGCAAATTGAGCACAACAGTTGTTCACAACTGGGATTGCTGCCACATTAAAAAAAAGTGATGGAGGGTGCCCTGACTCTGAAAAGGTTGGAAACCACTGGCTTAAGTAACTCTCCATGCTCACTGAGCATCCTTTATCCCGTCACATTTCCTACGTGTGACAGGAATTTGCTCACTCTGTCCGACCTGGAGAGTCGGGCTTTCCCTGTCATAGCTGTTCTTGGCTGGGTAGCGCTGGACAATGGAGTTAGGACTCTCTCTTGCGTTTTAATGATGCTTCCCAGCTGCTCAGTGGAGGAGACAACTGTGTAATTTGAACTCATGTGTAACAAAAGAACCGCATGGACGATAAGAGAGAGGAGTAGATTTGCAAAAGAGGTCGGGAAAGACTGAGACTAGAGGCAGGAAGGGAAGGAATGAGAAATGTTGCTTGGGAAAAGCTGGGTAAGGAATTTGTAAGCAGCTAAGGAGGGCAGAAGACAGATCAGTGCAGAGAAAGAATCAAATTGGTGAAAAGTAGTCTGAAAAGGAAGACTAATTGGACAAGGAGGAGGGCTCTTGGTAGAATTTATTAGCCAATTCTAACATATCTGTGATTGCTTTGAACTGAATCACAGTTGTGGCTGTTGATACATTGATGAGTACATTTCCCCCCAACACACACACACACGCACACAAAAAAGCACTGCAAAACACTTACCAGTAAATAGAAAACATGCAGATTATACCAGCAGTTACAGCCAACTGAACAGTCAAGATGAGATGCACTTTCCTGACAAAAGCTATAAAATAATGCAGATACTATTTCAACGTAGATGGCTTCAGTAAATTTGTGCTTAACCTCATTCTATTTTAAACTAGCATGGATGAAGCAATTTAGATGATATCTATAGCATTAAAACATACACATACACACAGCTTACTAACAGATTGATGCATGAGAGGGAGGGAGAAATGCGAATGAACTAGAGATGGCATTTACTAGCCCGCAAGAAGAATGTATTGACGCATATTTCAAGCCACAGGTAGTCCCTTGGAAGCCAAAAGTCTGATTTTTGTGTGTGAAGTTTTTCATATTTTTCAAAAAGGCGTTAGGTGTTGTGGTGTCAGATGCACCACTTTTGCCAGCAGGCAGTTGCTGAAGAAGGTGTAGATATGGTAGTGTCCATACTCAGCACCACTGTGAAGTTACAGCCCCATTTTTCAGTTGGCAGAGCAACACCAGCTCCCATGGAAAGCTGCTGGGCAATGGTGAAAAACCTACAGAAGCTGCAGGTAAGCATAGCCACGTCTGCTACCAGTTGCCATAGCCCTTTAACAGCAGTGCCTTCTCATACTGCAGGGGGGAGCCAACCTTAGGCATGGGTACCACAAGTGGCAGACGGTCTCTGTGTGGCACGCAGCAGAATAGGGAGGGGACAAGCAGTGCTGCAGCAGACAGGCCAAGAAGCAGAAGGCAGAAGAGGAAATCAGGCAGGGAACACAAGGTCACACCGGCCAAAAATGCCATAGGGCCTTTCACAGTTGGCCGGCACAGCTGTAGAGTAGAGCTACATGGATCTGTGTGGTTCGACTGAGCTGTGAGCATGCTCTGGCAGGTTTCTTGTAGTGGCTTGTTGCTGTCAGCAGAACTTCTGGTGGTAGATGCAGACCAATGTAGGCAAGGCCTTAAAAGAAATAAGACCTGGCTCCAAAGTTGAATCGAGGTACTATGTTCATGGGACGTCCTCAGTCATGAGGAAGGGCTGGAACCCAAATCAGTTCATGCTGGGTGTAAATGCAACTAAATGCAAATATTAAATGTCAGCAAGCATGAAATAGCTATCCGAATTCCACCATCTGCCAGAAAATAGTAAGTCCTCTGGGAAGAAAGCACATCTTTATATCTATAGCAAGCTATGTAAATAGCAAGTGGGGAACTGCACCACAGATCACTTCGAATATACCCCTGAGAAGATGCTTGTATTGTCCCATAGTCCCACAGAGCCATGGATTTTCTACAGGGCTGCAAAGCTCAGAAGCATCCAAGAGCACAACTCATAATGGGATTATGCAGTAATATTTTGCAGCATTGTTTGTTGTATATTAAGAGTTCAGTGGTGCTAAAAAAAATCCACGTTGGCTTTGCCAAAATAGCTCTCGCAATCAATTCACACTGCTAATGTTAACTTTACCTCAAGCCCATACATACCAATCGTCTATACCATGAACCCCTTAACTGGGCTCCAGGATAGTCCAGCTCACCTCTGGAAACTTTGCTGAATTTCTGAAATGGAGGTTGACCCTACAGCCACTCACTTCCTAGTCCATTTCTATCTGCAGTGTGTTTGCCCCTTGAAGTCTGCACGTCTCTTCCTAACTGCTGACCCTTCTACAGCTTTCTCTCCCCCCGTTCAGGAAATGGAGACAAGTAGCCTACAAATCTGTTCCTAGAAGGGCTCCCCAACAGTATTTGGGACACATGTTAATGGCATGCTCAAAAATTGCAATGTGGACAAGATAGGCATAGGCAACTCGTGGTTTGAGCTGGTTGAGTGCAACCCTTAAAGCTGACCCTCAGTATTATATAGACAGAATACAGGGACCTGGTTTGGGGTTTGCTGAGACTTTCAGCATATAGACAGCACTGGGATTTGAAATAGTAAATGGCTCCAAAATCAAGATTTTAAAACATCATATACTCTATCAATCAAGTGGCCATCTTGTGCTACAGAGCCTGAACACCCACAACTCCCACTGATGTCTTAACTTATCAGAAAATCCCCAAAGTGTATTGTTTAATGAGACAGATGCTCTGCAGTACTTTGGACACATACAATGGTTTCCAATAGAGAAAGCCACAACTCACAAAAAGTAATTTATTGTGAAAATACGAGGGAACCCTGGTCAACTTTTAATTTATGTTATCTTGCACCAGCAAGTATGCTGCACTGTTTACTGGGGACTTGTGAGATTTCACTATGGTACCAGCTGCAAAGAAGATACTTTAGCAAGATCATGGGCTAGTTTTTAGAGCTGCCTAGTTTAATGTCTCCAATAAGGACAGTTACATCAAGCTTGTCTTAAAAAGTAAGTACCCTTTGGATCAGTTCCCTCCTGTGCCCCCTTAGCATAACTGCTTCTCAGAATGGAGCCCAGGTCAGGAATTCACCCTCTTTTTACCTTGGCGGATAGCCTTGTTGGAGAACTGGCTGGGCTCTTCCATGGGACTCTGATATGCAGGGGGCTTGTCATGGACTGCAGCCAGACAAGCATTTGTCATTCCTTCTCCAGCTGCTTGATGCTGGTAGGCAGAAGACAGCACATCAAGATTCTCCACATTCAAAAACATAAGGCAGAGGGTCTGCTGGTGGACTCTGGACCCAATGTTGGACTGATGGAACCCCCCTGCCCTGATACTGGCTCTTACTGTATGGAAGCTCTCCTCCAGCTCCAGGATAATTTGCTGATTTGTTTCTCTCCATCTTCAGATAACACTTTTTTTTTCTGTCAGACTAACTGACACAAGGTAAGTTAGTAGCATTGTATCTACAGACAGGATACTTTAACCTGAATCAGTGACACCCCCTCCTCCCCAAAATACACACACATACCATTCTTCCATTAACTTAAGAGGACTGTGCATCAAAACACATCACCTTTGTAAATAAAGGAATTATGCATGTTTTCTATTAATAGAAAAAATACAAGTTCCTAGCCATAGTGGCAATTAGACAGCTATTAACATTGTCAAATTAAGGCCTATTATTAACTTACTGTTATTTCTCCCCCAGAGTAGAGACCACTGAGGCTTTCTTTGTATGAGAGGACAAGCAAGACTGAGCTACTGTCAGATGTAAGATACTGCCGTATACCAAACTATTGATCAATTTTTGTCACACATGACTTCTTTGTCAGAGTTAAGAAATTATTGACTTGGCAGGAAGTAAAGCTAGATAAAGAAGAAGAGCTTCTGTCCCCTTTGGCTAGGGACAGACATTACACATAAACCAGTTTAAGTGATCAGAAACTGGCTTACACCTGTAACAGAACAGAAGTTCAGTGCACCTAAACCAGTTTCAAAATGGCTGAAACTGATTTAAGATAAACCTGGTTGAACGTAGTATCAGACTTAACTGATTTGCGTCAAATCAGTTTATGCAATGTCTGTCCTAGACCCTTTCCTGGTTCAAGTTAAACCGGAGTCCTCCAGCATCCCAGATGCTTTGCAGCTGGACTGGGCTGGGCTGTGCTCTCTGCTCCAGAGAACAGGCTGGCCCCACCTCTCTCTTCCCTAGGCAGAGCTCTGGAGGAGACTGAAGGCACAGCAGGGTCTGCCTGGCTTCTCTCGCTGCTGCTTGCTGCCACCTCCCACAGCACAGACCCAGCCCCATGGACCCTAGGCATGTGGTATGCTAGCTAATGCTGAGACGTGTCTGGCAGGCACGGCAGTGTCCTTGTAGGACTTTTTGGAGCTAATGAACAGGGCAGCTGGTAATGTCCCTCCATTCCTTCCTGTTTAAGGACAGCTTCAACTAATCAGTGAGACTTTGTTTTGCTGATGGGCTGATAACACAGTGGTTTGCTGATGGTTGGAAGCCCTGTCAGGTTTGCAGACAGGGAGAGGGAGATTGAAAAGCTCCGTATCATCAACAGGTGCATGCACTGCATGCCTGTCTTTTGTCTCAGAGTGCTAGCCTGAGGCTGGGGTATGGCAGCACTCCCACCCCTTGAGCAGCAAGCGGGGGGTGGTGAAGTCTCAGATCCTGGGAGAGTACTCTAATTGCCAAACTACTGGATCAAGTCGGGAGGATGCCCTGCAGCACAGCCTCCTTTGTTCTGTGCAGAGTTGTATTTGGCAGGTGTATTCCGAGACCACCACCAAGATCAGAACCTGAAACTGGGACAGGCAAAAGAGACTGTTGATCTTGTTGATGCACAGGTATAAGACAGGTGCCAACCCACTCAGCACTATCCAAACTAAGGTGCTTCTGAGCATGGCCAGGAATGGAAAATTCAGCACTGAGGAACTTTACCATTGGAAACCTTGATGTCTACAACCTCAGGTGTTCCAGTTCTAGATAAATACAGTTCAGGCAGGGTGCTAGTGGGCAGGTGCTGCCCAGGGGAGCCCACTGCTACAAAGGGAAGGCCCAGGGACCCCCACAGCTCAGGAACTGCTTGGCCTGCCAGCAGCTCACCCCCTGTCTGTAGGAGAGGCAGGTAGGCTCCAATGGTCTGTGCGCCATCCTCACCACCTTACTACTGCCTAGGACCTCCCGGGAATGAGCTGGCTTGCCCCTGGGGCAGTGTGGCAAGGCAGCAGGAGGGCAGCTGGGTGTGCTGGTGGCAGGAGAAGGCAGCGGGGATGGTGCACAGGGTGCTGAAATCCCGCCAAGCCCGAACTTCCCTGAGTACGTCTGGGATTCTAGCGCCCCATGCACCGTTGCACTTTGTTGCACAGCAAGCTAAAATACTTCAGAAGGGTTTTATCTCGCTATGTCACAGGGTCATTTAATGCAAAATACCCCACCAAACATTTACATTGTTATGAAATGTAAGTGAAATATTCTGTCAAAGGTATAAACAGTGACACCATTAAAGCGGTGCAAAAGGCCAATTTTGAGACATGTATAAAGGCCCTTACAGCTTCCCACTATCTTCCAGGCTAAGTAATAGAACAACCTTAGCAGTAGGTATCTGGGTCTCCCATTTGGTAGGTCATAAAACAACCATAATAAGTACCTCTTAATTTATAGGTGCCATTGGTATGCCTAGGGGCCTCTGGGAAAAAATAGGTTGATTGTCCTTGTTTGGCTCTTGGCACAAAGTCTACATCACAAAAACAAACATCACCTTTTACATTATATTATCAACCCACTTCCTCCTGCTCTGTGGACAGTCTAAACAGGAAAGACAGTGACTGAATATGCATGAGACAAAACCAGCCTGCCAGATTAGGAATGAGACGTACTGAAGTGCAGCAGTTTCTACTGCCTGTGGATCTCTTCTATAAATAAATAGTGTTTTGCCCCCCCAGAACAGAATCAGAGTCTGATACTGCAACCTGTACAAAATTCACTTGATATGTTTTTATCACAACATCATGCCAGTGTGAGATTCACAGTCCATTGTTCCCTTGTGGAAATGGTAGTTAATGTTTCACTACATTAATGTACAGTACAAGTACATGAGCTGTCCCTCTGGAGTTGTACTTTGATCTGTCAGCTAAAATTCTTCCTACTTACCAATAAAGCTGCTTTATCTTTTAACATAACAAAAATACAGTTCAATAACATTAATCAAAATTAATTTAAGCTGTAAAATGAAAATAAGAATACTTTTTGGGATATACTTCTTATTAAAACTCACAAGGAGTAATTACAACAGAATTTTTTCCAGAAACAAAAAGCAAATCTGGTTAAGCTTCCATACGTCTTTAAGAGAGAGAAATGCTGCCTATGTGACCAGAGAGGAAATGGCTTTGCAGCAGGGTTTGGAGACACTGCAAGATGAAGAGGTTAGAAGTGAATGGAGAAGACGCAGAGAAAATTATGACGATGATGGTTAAGAAATTACCAAAAATACATGAGTATTAAACCCCCTGCTACAGTAGCCTGATTTCTTATAAGCACTATTTCACCTTGTGATGTTCACAGAATCAAAGTCTTAACGGGCCATATTAATTACCTAAGAAATGGTTGCCCTTCCCCACTCATTTCTATGATGACAGGATGATATAGGGAAAAGCAACATGCATAAAAATCATAGACTCATACGGTATGGAGGGACCTCAAAGGTCACCCATTACAGCCTCCTGCTGAAACAGAGAGATGCTACACCTAAATCATCCATGCCTGCTGCTTATTCAGCCTCTTCTTGAGAACTTCTATAAAGGAGATTTCATAACTTTCCTGCCTGGGCAGCACGTTCCAGCATCTCACTGTCCTAACAGTAAGGAAATTCTTCTTGCTATCTAATTAAATCTACTTCGCTGCAATTTGAACCTATTGCTTTGAGTTCTGTCCTGTGCAGCAGGGGCTAACAGTTGTTCTTCCTCTTCCTTATGGCAGCCTTTCAGATAGTTGAAGACTTTTATCATGTCCCCTCTTTTCTTCAAGCTAAGCAAGTCTAGTTCTTTCAACCTTCCCTTGTGCTATGACTTGCCTTTCAAGCCCTTTATCAAGAAACTGATGTTTCATTTTGCCATGTTAAGAGGGCCTTTAATGACAGGAGATGATTTCTAGCTTCCTCACGACTGGAAACGGTGGCAGCCATGGATGGTGATCCATGGCAGGTCAGCACAGCAGGGTGATATCAACCATGCAAATCCTAAAGTTTTCAGTTTTTGGTGCAGGTGAAGCCAAGAGCAGGGACCCTTGCATTTCTTCTGAATAGCAATACATGTTTCCTAAAAGTACATGGGAGAATGGGTATAGACGCCTATGAAATACAAAGATATTAACAGGATGCTGAGGAGTTGCAGATGAGTTGTTGAAAGGTTATATGTTAAGCCAAAGTGGCAAAATGAGGAGCATTGACTAGACTAGCATCTGAATGGCGTCCGTCATTGAGCTCCATTCCAGATTAAACCATGGGTATGACCCTTCTCCCATCTTACTTCTGTGTTTCTGACTTTGAAATGGGTTTCCTCTGCTGCAGTATGGTCACTAGATGATGCTTACCTGACCTTCCTGTCTTAATACATGTGATTACCCAGTCCACGAATTACTTGCAAGTAACCACTTGTCACAGCAACAGGACTTTCTAACTTCCTGAAGTACAAGGGAATGAATAATTCTGGCAGTGGTCCATGCTGACTGCAGGCCCCACTGACATAAAGATTAGACCCTGTTTCCCAAATATCTCTTCTTCTAAAATCCCTCTGCCTGACCTCAGCTGGCAGAGTTGGACTTCAGGTTCTTCACCTTGGTAGATGCTGCTAACCTGTGTAGATTGTGTTGTATCCTATTTGCTTACTGTGTTTCATCAATCCTGGGTCTGAACTTTGGGTCTGGTTTTTCATATGAAATTAAGCAGAAATGTGGCGGGGTCTGATGAGGCCCAGTAGTTATCTCACAGGGCGGCATGTATTATTTGTGTTTCATTCAGGTCACACCTGTCTATCTTCCAGCTTTCTGTCCCAGTTCGCTTGCTGGGTTACCTGGCCTTCCTGCTGAGGAAGATGGGCAAAGAAAGTTGCTGAGACTCCATTCCCTGCCGATAAGTTCACTCCATTCCCACTTCAGAGAGGGAATCCAATGTCAGGTCATCGGAAGAAGTAGGGCTTGAGCAGCCAGTAGGGAAAAGCTTAAGTCTCAGCTACTGATGAGAGTCATTAGAAACTGCTCC